GAGAGAGAGAGAGAGAGGTAGAGGGAGGGAGAAGAAAGAGACAGAGAGATCGATGCACATCAACAACTGAGTGGTTTCACAACTGGAAATGACCTGTATGTATCCCAGCAAAACATCAGCTCAGTTACACACATGTGTCTGTGTGTCTATGTATGTGCTTGCTTTGAACTATCTGCCCTTTTGCTTTGATTTCAGAGGCACTACAGAAACATCCATGTGCTTCTCTGATCACATAGCCTTATTCACACCAGGTAGGCATATTTCTCATGGTAATGAGGCTTTTGCGAGCTTTGCAAATTTCGACAGAAAAAAAAATATCACCTGATCTCTGCTTACTAAAGTCTTACAGTCATCTGCTAAGTTTCATACTTCCCTAAATATGCCCCTGTGTTCCTTAGTTGCTTCCCTCCCCCTAAAATGGCTCGGGAACTTTCAAAATGTGCGTTTATTTCACAGATGCAAACCGTCTTTCCTCTAGACTAGTCTCCTCTAGTTTGAACTTGGTCCCTGTTTAATGGGAGATTACAGAATTACAGAATTACAGAGTTGTAAGAGATCTCGGAGGTCATCTAGTCTAACCCCCTGGGCAAAGGGCTGTCCAGCCTCTGCTTTAAAAAAAGTCCCAGCGATGGACATTTTTTTTCCAACTGGCAACTGGACTTTGTTTTTCCTTGAAGAGGTTTCGCTTCTCATCCAAGAAGCTTCTTCAGTTCTGACTGTAATCAGAACTGAGGAAGCTTCTTGGATGAGAAGTGAAACCTCTTCAAGGAAAAACTAAGTCCAGTTGCCTTTTGAAAAAGCACCTTTGGAACAACCATGACTTGGAAGACTGAGAATCTCCTTAGAATTCCAGTGATGGAGCACCCACACCTTCTGGAGGCAAGGAGTTCCACTGATTAATTGTTCTTTCAGAAAATTTATCCTTAGTTCTTGGTTGCTTCTCTCCTTGATTAGTTTCCATCGATTACTCCTTGTCCTGCCTTCAGGTGCTTTGGAAAATAGGTTGACCTATTTCCCTTCTTTGTGGCAGTCCCTCAAATATCAAAAGACTACTATCATGTCAACCCTAGTCCTTCTCTTTGTTAGACTGGACATTCCCAGTTCCAACAAAGGGAAGATGTTCATATAAAAGGAAAGAGAAGCTAGAAAAGAGAAATGGAGAGGGATAAATAGAGATAAATTTTGCTTCAATTCACTAAGCATGAAACTGAAAATTAAAGCCAGCTAATGTAAATGGCTTCCCCTCCTGCATAATAATTTCCACTTTTGCATTTCAGTTAAAATTCAGTAACAACATTTGGAGGGAAGCTCTGATTTAAATGCAAACTTTGGGTTTGGTCATGGATAAATTCTTCCATGCTAATCTGTATTAGACGCACCTCTTCAGAAATGCTATATCAGTTTTGGATGCCATGCTGTTAAAACGAATCGAGTCAAATTGGAATAGATTCAAAGAAGGAAAATGATTGGGGAAACCAGACAGAGGCTGTCAAGCTATTTTCCAAAGCACGTGAAAGCCAGACAAGGAATAATGGATGGAAACTAAACAAGGAGAGATTCAACCTGGAAATAAGGAGGAATTTTCTGACAGTGAGAACAATCAGCCCATGGAACAGAAATTGCCTTCAGAAGTTGTGAGAGCTTCATCACTGGAGGCTTTCAAGAAGAGATTGGGCTGCCATTTGTCAGAAATGGTGTAGGGTCCCCTGCTTGGACTAGATGACCTACAAGATCCCTTCCAACTCTGTTAATCTGTTACAAGAAGTTTAGGTCAGCTTTGAGAAGACCAAGAATGGAAGATATGAGATAATAGATTTAAAGTCGCAAGAAGGATGGTCCCAGTTAAATTTTAGGAAAAACATCCTAGGAGGAAGACGAATTTCAACAGAGGAAATTATGACCAAGAATATGGTGGGTTCAAGATGGACATTTTGGGATGTTTCAATTTGCATCCCAACACTGAGCAGGTGGATGAAATCCATGGCTTCCGTTTCAATAATTCTGTGCTTCTATCGTGAGTAAACATTTGGGAATCTGTCAATCCATTACATCTCGTGGTTATCTGGGTAAGGAAGAAAAATCTCCCTGGACAAAAGAAAGTTTTCTTCTATAGATATAGTGTCCTTAGACCATTATGGGCAACCTGGAATGAAAATAGCTTACGAGAAGATAGAGAAATATAGCCACACCCTAAAACAGTTGGTTAAAAATAAAATCCAAAGGGGTGACTTGAAATATATCTTCTCTAGGATTTCCTGAAAACTGTTTTAATCGCTTTGGAGTGCCATCCCTGGAGTGGCAAAGTTATCATTTTGGTGGCGGTGTTGGTTTATTATTCATTGTGGAATTTGGAATGAGTGTCTGTTGGTTTTTACTCTGTGTAACTACAGACAGTTCTCGACGTACGGCCACAACGGAGCCCCCAATTTTTGCCACTAAGCGAGACAGTTGTGAAGTGAGTTTTATCCCCCGTTTTATGACCTTTCTTGCCCCAAGTTGTTAAGTGAAATCAAGTTAGGAACAGGGTGGTTAGGTTACTCTGGCTTCCCCATTGATTTCGTTCACCAGAAGTTTGCCGAAGAGGAGCACATGATTCCAGGACACTGCAACCGTCATAAATACGAGTCAGTTGCCAAGCACCTGGATTTTTGGCCACGTGACCCTGGGGGTGCTACAAAGGTCGTTAGTTGTGAAAAATGGGCACCAGCCACTTTTTTTCAAAGTCACCGTTGTAACTTTGACTGAGCACTAAAAGAACTGCTGTAAATTGAAGATTATCTGTGTACGTTTTGAGAATTCCCGTGCAAAATAACCTATGCTGGAGAGACAACGCTGGTCAGCTTCTATTGGGGAAAGATATACAATTCTCACTTCTTAAAATACAATTTTGTTTTGCTTGTCATAGAGGAAAGAGATGCAAGCATTTGGTTCCCGGATCTGGTTCTCACACGAGAACACTGTCCCTCTTTCCAGAACAAACCACAACTCGTATCCAAGTGATTGGAACTACAACATTTGCATTAAGGCATCCCTCCAGGGGTGGGATTCAAAAAGTTTTACCACTGGTTCGGTGGGCGTGGCTTGGTGGGCTCCAGGGATGGGATTCAAATTTTTAACAACCGGTTCTGTGGGCGTGGCTTAGGTGGTGGGCGTGGCTTGGGGGTCATGTGACTGGGTGGACGTGGCTTGGTGGTCATGTTATTGACTGGGCGTGGCCCACTCAATATCACTCACATCGAGGCACGCATCTCCTCGCCAGGACTCTCATGACTGTGGGGATGCTGCAACGGTCGTAAGTGTGAAAAATGGTCATAAGTCACTTTTTTCAGGGCCATTGTAACTTTGAATGGTCACTCCACACAAGCAAAGTACCAGCAAAGGAGGGGGAAAAAACCCCAGAGACGTTTCTGAGACAGGAAGTCTAGTCCTGCCAAGAATGTAATAAGGGTTAACGGAGAGGCAGTTTCTGTAAGCAACACCAGAATGTTTCCTTCCTGCCTTCCTTACAGGATTAGGCCAGTGATTTCTTCTAACAACCGGTTCTCCGAACTGCTTAGAATGTTAACAACCGGTTCTAGAGAATAGGTGTGAACTGGTAAAATCCCACCCCTGGTGGGCGCGCTTTGCGTGCGTGCACACACTTTGCTTGCGTGCATGCGCCACACACACACTTTTGCGCAGGCGCAGGGGCATTTTAACTCACCTCTTGCAAGCCTGCACTCTCCCGGTTGCTTCAGAAGCAGAGGATAAGGTGAGTTTGGGAGCCTGGACAGGCAGGTGAGCCCAACAGCAGAGCAGTGGAGAGAACTGGCTTGGTTTCTGTGGCTCATCGCCGCGACTGGCTCGGCTGAACCGGACCAAACCAGGCCGAACCGGTAGAATATTCCCACTGGATCCATCCATTTCCTCCCCGTCTTCCTGGTTCTTCCAGGCCATACAAACACACACAGATGCACCGAATTTGGCAGAAAAAAAAGGGGGGGGCAAAAAAACAACAACCCCAAACCCACAACATTTTTAACACTGGGATCTTTTGCAGCATTCAGTCTTGAAAGGCAGTCACCCAACTTTATATTATTATTATAGATATATGTATAAAAAGAATTATTTAAGGCCATTATGCTAAGTATCGGCATTCTAAATATACTACTATTTTCTGCTTGTTTTCTAAATTGAAACATGAGATTAATTTACACCGAAAGGGAGAGGCAGAACGAGGAAGGGAAGACTTCCTAATTTCGAGGAGAAATAGTTAAGAGTTTTTGTAAACAGTTTTTTTATAGAGCACTTTTCTTTCACAAATTCTCTTTCGGGTCAACTCTTAAACCCAAGCGATCAGCGGTCTGGCTGCCTCCCTGGATATTCAGTTTGTCCCATCTTCCAATAGGCCACCAACGTGTCTCCCGTAGACGTGCGTTCAGCTGACCGGCACACACAACCACACATGCGCACACGCATACACACGGACACACATCGCGAAATTCAACAGATCAAAGAAATACCTTGCGTTGAGATTATACACGCTGCACCAATGCAAGACAATTTAACACCATTTCACAGTCCCCAGGAGCGAGTGGGAAGGAGTATGGCTGTTTTAAAATCATAAGTTACCTTCTCAAATATTTTGATTTTGTTGTTGTTGTTGTTTTTCCTTCAAAAGAAGGACGTGGTTATTGGTAATGTCTGAAAACCTACCTAGAATTGTCCAAATATGGGCGGGGGGAGATAAGTCCTTTATTTGTGCAACTCTTCATGGGCCATTATAGTTTCAGATACTTTAGCAGGTGGTAAGAAGATGGCTAGAAAACTGTCCCCATTCTTGGCCCAAAGGATGGCATCTAAGAGACTGCACAAGACTCAAGTGGTGTCCATCAACCTTCCTTTGGTAGATTAAGATTCTTGTGAGTGTATGGTTATGCCAGTTTCCATATGCGCATGAATTTCCCACTCATCCTAACAGGAGGAAGATGTACGTGTGGCCCAAAGCATGGATGCACAAACCTGATTCCCTTCGGCCACCCCCTGAAATGAATTAAGAAGACCACCACAGCTAAGGAAACGGTTGAGGGCCCAGAAGACTATAAATTAGGTAGCGCTTGCTTGCCTCAAACACAGGTCTTCCGAGATTTGTATAGATCACAGATGGGCTGAAACGAGAAAACCAGAAACTTGTTGGGTTCCATCCCTTCTTCCTCATGAGTTCCATCCCTTCTTCATCTTGGCCTTCAACCAGCCTGGAGACTTGAAGCAAAGGGTGGAGGAGAAAGCAACAAGATCTAAGGACAGGATGGGATGGACAAAGACAAATGCACAATGGTTTTTGCTGTTGTTTGATACAGCTGGCATTGTCGGTGGTAGGCGGGTCAGTCTGCCCAGGAAGTATCCAATGAGCTGTGCCAAGTGCATCATCCTTTGAAGAATAAGGCTACAGCCGGCCTTGGCTGGCAGAGGGGGACCTCCATGTTACCTTTTCAAGATGGTTGGGGGGGAAAAAAAATCATAAGTCCAGCCATGAAATAATACCCAGCAGTTGGTTTCCTCCTTCTGTTCCTCTTGGATCTTCACAGTAGATATAGCTCCACAGATGGACTTTCCAGGAGTGTCTTATTTTCCCATAATTCTTACTCTTCTTCTTTTGTTTACACTGAAATTTCATACGTTGTTCCACCCACCCCAGAAACCTTCTTAACGTTTGAGTGTCTAGCTGGGCTCACAGGAGCTTGGACATTAGACATTGAGCCTATTCGACCCTCGACTCTGGAAAGGCCCTTTGGCTGTCCATTGATTTTACTGTGGGGAGTCTTCAGCGGGACGTCCTCTCTGTGGCCGGAAGAAAGAGAAGGTCCAAAGTTAGTAGACAGAAAACAAGGCAGCTTGTTAAGTAAATCACACCTGATTTTTGTGGCTCTTTTTTTTGTTATGGTTGTTCAGCAAACCACTTGCAGTGGTTAGCGCAGGTGGCTAGATTTTGCGCGGCAACACCGGGGGATTTGTCAGAAATACGAGATTCATCCATCATAGCCATTTGACACAATTAGCACGTTTCCCTGAAAATAAGATGGAGTCTTATATTAATTTTTGCCTCAAAAGATGCATTAGGGGCTTATTTTCCGGTTTTAGGTCTTATTTTCAGGGAAATATGGACTAAATGCATCCGTCTGGCTGACAATCTTAACTGGGGCTTATTTTGGGAGGTAGAGCTTATATTAGAAGCAACCTGAAAAATCGTGCTAGCGCTTATTTTCCAGTTGGGACTTATTTTCAGGGAAACATAGTAATGCAGCAAAATCTTTTGCGTTACTACTCTTTTGCATTTTAGTATTTAATGACTATGGGCCCCACAGTTTAAGGATTGGTTTATAGATATTATAGTACAGTTAGGCCATGCTGGGTGTTGCACGTCAAGTGTAATTGACAGATTGGATGCCAAATTGTGAGTTTAATGCCGACAAGTTGACCACCAAGCTCCAAGAGCACCAAGGACTCCACAGTCATTGTCCTCTTCCTCCTCCACCTCTTCCTCTATTCTACAACCCCATCAATCCCTCCTAGCACTGATGATGTTACCTAATTTGGTAATGAAATGTCTGCAAGAAAACCACCAAGCTCAGAAGGCACCAAGGACCCCAAATGATAGAATCTACTTTTCTATTTAATATATATGGATCTTTGGTTATTCGGGTTTTCTCCCGTGTAAAATTGGAAGTATCTAGGTGACGTTTCGATGAAGTCTCATTCATCATCTTCAGGCTTGTGTCTTCGGCTTTGTGTTTCTTGAAGTAAAACTCCGAGAAGCACAAAGCCAAAGACACAAGCCTGAAGATGATGAACGAGACTTCATCGAAACGTCGCCTAGATACTTCCAATTTTACGCGGGAGAAAACCCGAATAACCAAAGATCCACCTACAAATACCCGCGAAAACCTCAGAAAACACACACATATATATATATATATATAAATAAAATTAAGCAACTCATTTCACATCCTCATTGGATCTAAGTGCCGAAATCTGAAACTTGATACTTACGTCTAGTAGCCAGACTTAAGTTATTTTACATGCAGTGTGCTTTCTAGTATGTTACTCTTAAATATTGGATGAGTCCAGGGAATCACATCCTATTTCTGAGTAACAAACGAGATTATAATTTAGTCTTGGCTTAACTCTTATTTCCAGGTAATTTAATAAGTGCACATATACATTTTTGAGACCTCCCACCGGCTGAAAAACCATCCAGAAATGTTAAAAATAATCCACAGGTTGAACTCTGCACCCAGTTTTCCCACACACCACTGCAGCCATGCGAAAACTCTCCATACCTCGCAGTGCCTATGGACTGAGCTTCGGTCAGCTCCATCGTGTTCACAAAGGAGATGGATTTTGGAGCCCCGTACGAGGGAGACCGGGGGATCCCACTTGGAGATGAAGGAACTTGGTGGCTTGGTGATTTGTAGGAGCCGTTACTCATCCTGCCCTGCAGCGCCTGATGGGCTTGGATGTTGTTATTGGCTAGGTCTGCTTGGAGAGAAGGTGTGGAAGTCCTTGACACTCGGGTCATGGCGCTGGAGAGGGAAGAAACAGAGGTCTGCAAAGCTGGGTTGCGTGCACTGAAGCTGCTGTGGGGCATCAAATTGTCCCTGGAGCCGTATCTCAGGACTAAGCTGCGGGGATCGTCCGAGAGCAGGCTGACTTGCTGAAGGCTGTAAGAACTTGGGGTGTCATACACCCCTGAATCTGCAAACACGGAGTCTGGGTGAGAGTGCAGGAGCTTCTCCCTCTCCTCCATCTCCTTCCTTTCTTGAATGGACGCCATAATTGTTTTCGACAGGTTGTCGTAGCGGACCGGGGAGGGGTCTCGCGGGTGCTGGGTCAGCCCACCTTGCCCGGGGCTAAAGGTCTGGGGAGACGGGCGCTGGAGTTCCCTGCCCCTCAGATGGCACATTTTGGCAGACAAATATGGCGAGTGGTACCCGACGGAGCCCACCGCGGCGTGCGCGATGCACCGCTTCCCGGCTGGGGAGATGGGGTTGAGCAAGCTGTCATAGGATAAGCTCCCATTCCTGTTGGAGAGGGAATTGGGGGCAAAGATGCTTTTGTAGGGGGTGGAGGTCACCCCTTCGGATTTCATGGGATGGAGGGGCAGTTTGTCGGGGCCTCTCCGGCCACCCGCTTTCAGACTTAGGGATCTGGAGTTGGCCGCAAAAGAATCCGCTTGGAGCGGAGAAGACTGATAGGTCTTGTGAAGGGAACTCTTCCGATAGTTGGGGAGCTCCATGCTGGGCTCAGATTGATAATCCAGGCTGCTGTCATTGTCATCGGCCAAGGAGCTTTGCCTGAGTCCTTCGTGGAGGGAGATCTGGGATAAAAGAAAAAAGTGTCAGGTGGAGGTGCAGGAAACATGACCAGATGAGCTAATTCAACTTTATTTGTAAGGCTACTTTAGCAGAATCTTGCAAGTCTGAAAGTACAAATCTCCCACTGTCTCTTTTTTAGCTTAATAAATTAGGGATAATCCTTTCTGAGTTTCTGGCTTTGCTCTTTATGTCGCTGAAGGCTATGTCGTCTCTTATCTGATTATTCCCTAGGCAACCTATCTTCCCCTGTATTCCCAGATCATTCCCACATACGTTAGTAGAAGCAACTGATCTCTTTCTCCCTCTCTCTGCTTCTCTCTCTGTGTCTGTGTCTCTGTCTCTGTGTGTGTCTCTCTCTCTGTGTCTCTGTGTGTGTGTGTCTAATCTGTCTGTCTGTCTGTCTCTCTGTGTGTTTGTCTCTCTCTCTCACTGTGTCTCTCTCTCTGTCTGTCTGTGTGTGTGTGTGTGTGTGTGTCTGTCTGTCTGTCTGTCTGTCTCTCTCTCTCTCACACACACACACACACACACATCCAAGGAACAAATCCCTGAAAAAGGATTTATGAGCCATTACACAGCTTTCTTAAAATGGCCTTTTCATTGGTGCTGTGGCCTCATTGTTCAAAGGGACAAAGAACGATGATTAAAGGCTGGAGAGGAAATTACTGGAGAGGAAAAGGAGTAATAACCAGGGGAGGGATTCTACCGGTTCGGACCGGTTTGGACGAACCGGTATTTCTGATTATCATTTGGCCCCGCCCACCTGCCCCTGCCCTAGCATCTCTTTTATTTCCCCGTTGTGCAGTTCAGCAGATTCCCCCTGGCCTCAGCTGTTTTATTCACAAGGGCTGCAGTAGAAGGTAAGTATTAGAGCTGAAGAAAGGTGCACACTCACCGAACTAGTTGTTACTCCGGTTGAATCCCACCCCTGGTAATAACCATAGCATTGCATAGCATAAGCACAGCACAACATCCCTTTCAGACACATTATGTAAAGATCTGGTTGAGAAACACTGTTCGATCTGCTATCATTCCACTGTAATTTTTTATTTTGACCCAAGGAAGAGGCAATTACATAGACAGAAAATATTTAAAATTGGCCATTTTGTTTCATTCGGTCAAAGCTAAGATTCAACCCACAACCATGCCATCTTACCTGCTCAGATGTTCCATGATAATGGACTTTAGAGTTGTGGCTGAAAGCAGGGCGATATTTGTACATGGCAGGTGTAGGAGGGCTGATCAGTTTGGGAGAAAGGCTGGTCTCTGAAAAAACAAACAAAAAAACAAGCCATTGCTTATGACACACCCAAAACATGATTGAGTTTCATATAACCCTTAATATTGTTTGCTTATTTACAACTTAGCAAACTACGTAAATCCAGCTACCACATTTTTCAAATCTTAGCTTATGGCTTAAGGTATTATACGGACCCAGTCAATGATGGCTTAGCCAGTAAATTGTAGTTAAACAAACTATGGCTTAGTTTCTATGAATCCAATAGTTTCTGCATCTACGGGCTCAACCAATCATAAATTTTGCACCATTTTAAAAGAGAGAAATCCACACATTCACTTGATTTAAAAAAAAAACAACAACTCACCTTCAGTGCAAGAAAAAGAAAAAAAAGAAAAATAGGGAAATTCACACAGAGAGAAGGTAAAAGAGAGAAATTCACAGAAGTTCACTTGAAAAATAGGGAAATTCACACAGAGAGAAATTAAAAGAGAGAAATTCACTTGATTTAAAAAAAGATAATATCAAATCTTGTACCTTCATTGCTTCCCAGTTCACTGTATTTACTGGAATCCCCCTTGGGTGGAAGTGGAGGCTGTATATCCATGGTATTTTCGTCCAGCCCTTCAAGGCTAATTTTAGACTGGAAAAAAAAATCACAAAACAAAGTTAAGCATTGCGGAGTAGTTTATTCTAACTTTTAAATCATGCATTTTCTCCCCCTCCCCAGATGTCTCTATAAACTGTACAGGACAACAGTGGTCTTCACCCATTGTGTTGAACTGCAGCATTCTTGGTTCCGTTTGAGTTTAGCCAGAGTATGAAAACAACCACTGTTGATTTGCTCATTCTGGTTTATGGCCTAATGTGTTGCCTGAACTCATCCAGTTGAGGCTTGTTCAGCAAACCATGGTTCAACAAATCACTGTTTCGTGAAGTCTAAGAAGCTTTGCTAGGAGCCAGTTTGCTCTAGTGGGTAAGGCATCAGGCTAGAAACCAGACCATGAGTTCTAATCCTGCCTTAGCGATGAAAGCCAGGTGGGTGTCTTCAGGCCAATCACTAGGAGACTGGGAGTTTTAGTCCCCCCTTAGGTATGAAAGACAGTTGGGTGACTTTGAGCCAATCACCGGTAGACTGGGAATTCCAGTTCCGCCTTAAGTATGAAAGGCAGCTGGGTGACTTTGAGCCAATCATCAGGAGACTGGGAGTTCTAGTCCCGCCTTAGGCATGAAAGCTGACTGGATAACTTTGGGCCAATCACCAGGAGACTGGGAGTTCTAGTCCCGCCTTAGCCATAAAAGCTGGCTAGATGACTTGGGGCCAATCCCTCTCTTTGAACCCACCTGACCTCACAGGGTTATTGTTGTGGGGAACATAGGAGGAGGAAGAAGTGTTATGTATGTCGGCCACCTTGAGTTATTTATAAAAACAATAAAGGCAGGATACAAACAAACAAATGCAAATAATTACACAAATCTGGCACCTAGAATTTTTGCTTTGCAGCGATGGAAAACTGAAACAAATGACTAGCTTTGATTTCAGCCTGGATTGACTCGGATTCAGCTATCATGCTAGACCATAATTTAGCTTGTCTGGCTTTGGCTCAACATGTTGTACAAACCCAGCCAAAGGTAAAGCTAATGGTTCCCCTCGCACATCCGTGCTACTCGTTTCTGGCTCTAGGGGGCAGTGCTCATCTCCGTTACAAAGCCGAAGAGCCAGCGCTGTCCGAAGACGTCTCCGTGGTCATGTGGCCGGCAGGACTAAATGCCGAAGGCGCACAGAACGCTGTTCCCTTCCCACCAAAGGGATCCCTATTTTTCTACTTGCATTTGTTTACGTGCTTTCAAACTGCTAGGTTGGCAGAAGCTGAGACAAGGAACGGGAGCTCACTCCGTTAGACGGCGGTAGGGATTTGAACCACCAAACTGCTGACCTTTCTGATCGACAAGCTCAGCATCTTAGCCACTGAGCCACTACGCCCCCTGACAAACCCAGCTAGTACAAGTTAACTAACCCCTAAGGCTTAAATAGCATGTTTTATGAATTCACCCCAATGTAGGAAAGTTTTATGGAAATCTTTCACCAGGAAAATATGGAAACAGATCTCTATACGGGCGGATCCTGCGTAGAAGATAGCTCATAGGGAAGGCTTCACCTTGTTCTGGTTGAGGTTGGCTTGAACACCGTTGTCACTTATTTTGACAGTGATCTGTCGCTCCTTTAGATCCGGCCTCAGGAAAGGGGGCTTCACACTAACCATCTCCTTCTTCTTGGGATCCACAATGTACCTGCAAGATCACGGGATCGTGAAACGGATGCTTTTGCATTAAAAGATACAACCTCATGAGTGCTGCAGCAGACCCCCTCAACGGTCCGGCTGTGGTGAATGCCTGCAAGTGGCTTACACAAAGGAACAATTAATAAGCCACTAAGAGAGGAAGTTAAGAGTGCTTCTAAAATATTGGTTAAAAATTCAAAAATGGCTACAAGAGATTACCAGTGAGCAAATAGAATTAGAACCGGAATTGTTTTTATTGGAGATATTCAAAAAGAAATACGGGAGAAATATAAAATATTTAATATTGCATATTTTAACTGTTGCCAGAATTGCCTACGCCCAGTATTGGAAACATGCATGCCTACCACCAGAGGAATTGATTATCCAGAAAATAATGAGCTGTGCTGAGATGGACAAATTAACCTTGAGTTTACAAGAGAAAGAGGAATTGGACTATTATAAGATTTGGGAAAAATGGTATTGAACAGAGATAGATTTATGGATAGATAAATAGATTGTAAAAAATAAGGATAAGATGTAGATAAAGATTTATATCTGCACAAATTTTATATATTTGTAAATAATGCACAAAATATTAGTATAAGATGAACGTCACAAACTGTTGTTAAAAGATTTATATTTTTGTTGTTTGTCTTTTTAAAGTTATAAAAGATTAATAAAGTTTTCAAAAAAAAAGAGTGCTTCTAAAGAAATAAAATGTATAGCAGCAAAACGGGTCATCTACAAGGATGGATCATCTGAAGGGACGCCATTTTGGTGTGAAAGGCCACAGACAAAGGCTTGATGGGTGATGAAGTCACGTGATAGTAGCGTCAGTATTTCCTGCATCGGATGAGGAGAGCACCTCTTTCTCTCTCTGTCCTGGCCACTTTTGACCCAGGCACGACTGAGAACATTTTAACAAATTGCATCTCTGTTTAGTTTGGTGGCAGCAGTGCCTCAGATAGAAAGTCCCTAAAGTGAGTGGTGAGGACAGTGGAGAAGATTATAGGAAGCTCGCTTCCCATTATTCAGGACACTGCTTATCAGTGCTATGTACTTAGATCTCAAAGCCTTGTTAGAGACCCCACACACCCAGTTCATGGTCTGTTTGTGTTGCTCCCCTCTGGGAGGAGGTTTCAAAGTATTTCTAGCAGGACAACTACATTCTGTAACTGCTTTGTTCCCTATGCCATCTGTCTGATAAACTCGCAGGATTCGTTTTTCTCATCACGTACACATATACATCTAAACTAGACTGTGTTGTTTCTCTGTGTCATATAATACAGTGATCCCCAACCTTTCTTATGCCGCGGCCCGGTATCCCCAACCTTTTTTATGGCGCGGCCCGGTACCGGCATTAGCTGGGCGCCGCCATCTTTTTTTGATGAAAAAGTGCTTCTACCCGGAAAAGCTCACCGGAAGCACTTTTTCATCAAAAAAAGATGGCGGCGCCCAGCAAACCAGCGGCCCGGTAGGACTTGTTCCACGGACCGGTGGTTGGGGACCCCTGATATAATATATGTGGGTATATACATAATTTTGTATTTATTTATTTATTTTGTCATGTTCATGTAGTGAATATTGGAGGCAGTGATCTTTTGAGAGCTGCATGCAATGAAATTTCATTTTAACATACACCGATTAGTGACAATTGTCATGCCCCTGTTGGAGACTGACTCCAACGGAAAGGAGGAACAGCCGACAGGGAGTGGAAGTGTGGCTCCGGAGGTTGTGGAGGAGGCTGGAGAAGAGCAGAGGCTGGCTGGGCAATCAATCAGGGCATGCAGGGAGGAGAGGATAAGGGAGAGGTGTGAATGGCATGGTCTACGGGGGAGGAAAGGGCCTTGATCCTCTTCATGGGCTGCAGCTGTGTTTAAAAAGATGTACGTGTGCATGGGCCAGTGCTGGAAAAAAAACTTGGCAATATCTCTAGTCTGTCATTCCTCTCTGAGTTTGGCGGTCCTTTCCAGTGTGTATTCCGATATCTGTGGACGTCTTCAAGCCCTTATCTTGCCTGGTTCCCTTATTGCTTCAGTGTGGTTTGTGTTGTTTTTACTCTTTATAATTTATAGGCATTTTTAGTTTAAACGGCATTTCGTCCTTCTTGTAACTGCTTGCGGGGGAGTTTTTTGTGTCCAGTCAAGGATATTTGGAGCTTTGAAGCAAAGTGAAGGAATAAAAGGGGCTTCACCTGTTTTTGTGCCTGTGTTTATTTTGTATCCCACCCTGGGTCATCACACAATAAAATTTATTCTATTCCATTCCATTCTATTCTATGTTAATACACTAAGGTGCCCAAGGCAGAGGTTAAGATCTGCATCTATCATTTCTACAGATTCAAAATATAATCCATAAATCAGTGGAGACCAGCTTGTCCAGTCCCCAACCTCTCATCCCCACAAACCCAGCGTTGGTTAAGGACCAATCTTCTGTGTTTCTCCTTAGATCTCACCTAGGAGCCAGGGGGCTGCAGAGGACATGTTCCACGTTCCCGCAGCATCCTTGAGTAAAAGGATTGACTCCTCCACGGAACTTACCCGTCACCTGGAATTAAAAGCAAAGAGGGCAGTTTGAAAAAGGAAGGAAAGCTCCCATTCGCCTGAGGAAGACCTGAATCTTGACCATTTGACCACGGGGGATGCTGCAATGGTTCTAAGTGTGAAAAATGGTCCTAAGTAAAAAATTTTCAGTCCATTCACTGTAACTTTGAATGGTCACTAAATGAAATGTTGTAAGTTGAGGACTACCTGTACCTTCAGGTTTGCAAGGTTCTGTCAATTAGCTATATAATAAAATAAAATTAGCTGATCTGATTGTATTTGCTTTTTGGTCCATCTGGTAAGGCTGACAACCCCCTGTTATGCATTATTTATTATTATTATTATTATTATTATTATTATTATTATTATTATTATTA